CAGCAATGCTCAGCTGGGCTGCGAGCAGATACAATGGCAATTTGAGACCTTAAGTATCTGCTCCATATAAATAAAATCCATGAGAGGAGGCTCTTTTGCACTTCTTTTATTTATTTTTTAACCAAAAAGATTATTTTGACCTTTTATTTTCCTTGAGATGGAATGGATGGTGTTATGTTCATCGAAACTCAAATATAAAGGCTTAGAAAGTTGCTTCCCCTCATCTCTTAATGACCCTGTTCTTACCAGGCATGTAAAAAGCTCAATCAGATTGAGCTTTCTGAGTGTGAAATATATGCCTCTTGTGAGCCCTGCCCCATGTGCTTTGGCGCGATCCACCTTTCACGAATTAAGGTATTTTCTGCTCCCTACATTGTCTCAATTCTTTCCTGTCCCTGTGGTTCAGGGTGTATGACATATTATGGATTTTGTGGTGTGTTGATGTCAGAGGTTGGTTTATGGAGCCAAGGCTGAAGCAGCTATTGCTATTGGCTTTGATGATTTTATTGCTGATGCGTTGCGGGGGACTAGCTTCTATCAGAAGTCCCAGTTGGAGATCAAGAGGGCAGATGGCACCCAGGCCATCATTGCAGAACAAGTCTTTGAGAAAACAAAGGAGAAGTTTCAGATGTATTAGGCGTTTTCATTTGTTCGTTATGCTAGTTGGGACTGTCTTTACTTCTAATTCTGAACGATAAGCTTCGCCTTCAATGCAATTGTTCAATAATGATTTCCATTCAATGGAGCTTGAAACGCTGATATGCTTTATCATGTTGAACTTCAGATTTACTGTGTTGAATCATGCTAGCATCTCCCTCAACATTTTAATCTTTGATGTTGCACACCCTATGTGATGCCTTTATCAACCTTTCATTTCAATGCTAGAATCCTGCCTTGGATTTTCTCCCTCTTCAAAATATTGAAACAGGAGCTACGAGAGTGAGATGGAAAAGGAGCCAATTCAGATTATTGTATGTATTCTACATGACTGTCCTAAAATGCTTTAGAAGAACGCCCTATTTCTGCAAGTAAAGAGAGAATGCACACCCGATCCAGAAATGCATTTTAGCTTACAAACTACTAGCATACAATGGAGACTAGGCAGCTTTCGCAAATCCTATCCGGTGATTACCAAAATCAAACACCGTGTGGTATGCTCCCAAAAACACATCTCCAAGAATCCTGCATTGCATTAGACATCAATCAATGTTACATTTATGGATCTTTATGTTCATTACAGCAAAAATAATGAGGGAGGTATGACATACCAGAGGGGACCTTGTGGTTGAGGCACATCTAAAGCTGCAAATCCACTCAAGCAAATTGTAGCATAGCTTTCTTCAACTCTAACAATATACTAAACCAATTGCAAAACAAATTAAAAAAAAAAAAAACTCCCACTATTATATGAACCATCAATGTTCAAGAAATCACTAAAAAGTTAAAACCCACACCTGCTCTGGAGACAGAGGAAAGGATCTGTTTCCTATGGTGAAGGAAACATATGGCATGGCTGTGATTTCATCGCAGTTGATAAATGATTTTCCTAGAGGATTGGGGAGCCTCTCGCACAGCTTTAACATAAAGATACATTTTAAGTGTAATTCCACATAAAAAGAATAGGGATGAGCTCGAAAAAGTGATCACCTCATCAACATAATGAAATATCTTTTCCTTTGCTTTCTTCTCTTTAAGCTGTACTTGAATCCAGAAAACAATCATCTCGCAGAAAGTACATAAAGCACCACCCTCAGCCACTGATAATCTATCTGTAGCTTCACCATCGACCACAGTCTCAATAACAGTGTTGTTGTTGTATAGACATAGTCCAACATCAACGCATATAATTTCAGGCCTTAACTGCAGACATGGGGGTAGTTTGTAAGGAAGAATGTCCTAGATACTTTTCTTGAGAGTAATCCATTGTGCAATAAAAGGAAGGTTAGAAGTATAAAGTAACTGACTCCAGATATTATCGAATCCCATATTGAATTCCAGTACTTGGACACAACTTCTTTACATTCCAAACTCACAATTCCTCTAGCTCCAATGGCATGGTTAATTTGTGCCACTATACGCTGTAAATGAGAACTGGTAAGAGTCGCATTTTGATAACTAAGAGTAGCTTAAGAACAAGAATCAATGAGACATGAACAGTTACAGTTGGACCGGAAAGAAATGATGTCCCTGAGTCCACAATGGCAGCACAGCCACCAGCACACAATCCTGAAAATCTCAAACATTGATTTAGAGATGGTTTGCCTATATGTCTAGGGATAAGATTAGAACATCATTTTCCAATAACCAAATGTAAGTGTTCATTGAAAAAAAAAAAACCTTCAAGATAGCACTGCAGCGCCGCTTGAACATCATATATATGTTAATGTTATTGGATTACCTGTTGAATTGTTTGCAATAAAAATATCCCCCACCTGTATCTGTAATGAAGAATCGAGTTAAGAAGTTAAACATCAGTTATTTTGATGGGAGGAAGATGCTAAAAGAGATTCTCCAAATTGTTAACTTCATCAGACCTGCCAGTAACCTCCTCCAGTGACTGGGACATATGTATGGTCACCTTTGAAGTGCCTCCAATCTAGACCTCCAAAGACAATTTCCCCTCCCAATTCTGACGATGGATTGCGATTTAGCCAGAGAGAGAAAACTTTCTGGCTTACATGACCTTGTTCAGCCATATTATACCTGTACACCGACCACCAATCTACGAGTTAGATGCATCATGATCTAAGACAAAAAATGAAACAACACATAAGCATTCATTAAAATTTCCTCTCCTTTATCCCTTATGAAGAGAAGACCGACACTTTCCGTTTCCGATAATTTAAGATTGAGCTAGAAGCCTAGAACTATACCATACTGGTGTAGCTTTTCCAACGGCAATATCCTGAAATGCAAGTCCAAGGATGCCATCAAACTGCACACCCAAGAGTGCTAAAAGTCCTTCTCTTGTTACCTCAGCAAACTCCTAAATGACGGCAAATTAAGGTCATTATTTCTGCAGAAACATAAACAAGTCTCAAGCATAAGAATTTGATGAAGCAGAACTCACTTGATCTATAATGATATCATCCCCAACTTTGACATGATCTTGGCTTAAGAACCCAGAAACAGACCCAGAACCATATTGAATTTTGCATGGTATACCTGAATAAGAATCCAACAAACCTGTTACCTGTAAAGCTCAGTAGACATGTATAATTCTGGAAATTAATGAAAACACGTAGGGTTAGATCAGAGGTTAATTTACCGATCTTAGTATAAGTTCTGGATAGCCTTGCAATGAATTTGGAATGGAAATAGCAAGTTATCTGCATGGTAGTAGTGTTTAACAACATATAACCCTATTGAATGGTAGAAGACCAGAAAAGTAGCTAATTACTTGACTGATACCCAGCTATTAATGCACTACTTACTGATAAGAGGCATTTTGAAGATGGAACCCAAAGATTGGAGCTGCCAGTATCAAACACAACAGTGAAAATTTGTGGGGGTGATCCAATGCCAATCTCTCCATAATATTGGGTATCAAGATAATTCTTTAAGTATACTATTTCTGCATTTGAAGTTACTCTGGCAAAGGAAGTAGCCTGAGGTCTGGTGATCCTGGCTGCATGTATGCTGTTAAGGTCTAAATTCCTTTTCTTTAGACCAACTCTCGCTAACCCATCAGAAGACAAGGAACCACCCAACCAAGCTCCCATGCAGATTGAAATTAGAAGAAATCTGATCGCCTCCATGTTCGATCACAAAAGTTTCTTTCAAGTTTTAATATTTGGGTTAAATCAAAACAAATGGGAAGGCAAGCACTTTATAGAATGCTAAAAATGGGAATGGGGAGAGATTTGGAACCAACTAGTCCTGATCATAAAGCAGGGGCTTGTTTTGTCCACAACTCTGGAGACGCCTCCGTACTCTCATAATCTCATCAATGGAAACCACCGCGTAATTTCCTGATCATCTCTGTATGGCCGATGGCCTGAATTACATGGCTTCACAAATACATAAATGGAGATCATTGGTAGGAGGGAAGGGGTACAGTCTCTTACTTAAGTTGCTGTTTTTGATATACATACATGTCTCCTCCAGTACAAAATACTGTTCCTCAGTTCACCAAGCCCATCTTCAAATCCAATTTTTTTTATCATATCCTAGCCATGTAGAATTGTAGAGAACCTACGAAACCATGTGATGTCAAGAAAAGAAACACATTAATTTGAATGAGCCTTTGTCTCTTTTGCTAATGATGAAATGCCACAAAGTGCCTCACAATTATGCTCTGATAATAGTATTTCAATGAATCAAATTAACACATGTCAACGTCAAGATGATAACCAATTAATCTTTAAACTTTCAACTTAAGAAATCGCTTCCTGCAGTAAAATCAAGAGAACTATATATATAGGGTGTCCCATTCTTGAGAAGGCTACATAGTATCTGCCCAAAGCCCCTAGATGAAATCCCAAGTTGCTAAAGCTTGAAGAGGATGCTCATATTATGATGGCATGACAGTAAATATACAAGTGGCTAGTTTTTTCAGGGAAGGAAAGGGAAGGAGGGGGTTTTGTTATTTTGGTTTCTTGATTCTTAAAGGAGCGGGCTGAAACTTGAACTAAAAAGACTCTCAAATCCTTTCTTTTTTTTTAAAAAAAAAAAAAAAAAGAAAGAAAGAAAGAGAAAAACCTTCTTTTCTCGTTTTCAAAATATCAAAATCATCAACTCTTGAGTCTTAGAATTTGAAGGAAAAAAAAATGGAATTGGATGACGACGACTGGGGTTTAAGCGCTGAAGAATTTGATTCCCTTGAAAGAGACGCTCTCCTGAAGATAGCATCTCAACAACAGCAACAGCAACCTTCTGCTTCTTGTTCTTTTAATCAACAACAAAGCCAGCAATTACATTTGAGCAACAAACCCATTTTTAATTCTCCTTCAAAAAAGGTAAAGTGCTCGCCTTTTTTTCTCATTTCTTCATAAATTTTATACCTTTTTACCTTTCTTTACTTTACTACTCACCTGTATTTCAACAACCCATTTCTTGGTTTCTCCTTTAATTCAAATTTTCCTGGAATTCTAAGGGTTTTCTGTTTCTTCATTGTATAAAGATATAACCTTTTTTTAAAAAAAAAATCGTGATTCAGGTTGATCCTTTGCCTGATGGCTTGCCCAAATCATCGCCGGTATCGAAACCAAAGCCTGGTCTGTTCTTGATTCTCTGGTTTGATTAATTATCTGCTTTTTACTGGTTTCTTGAATTATGGTTTAGGGTTGCTGTTTCTATATTCAACTTTATTTCAAATTGTGGATTAAAATGTTGTAAGTTTAAATTTTTATGTTATATACTATACTACGTGGCTGATCAGTTTGCTACTATCCTATCTGCATACAATGTGGTGGTTGTGCTCAAAAAGTTGAAAGTTCCAAGGCATTACCAAAGCTCTCTGTCAAGTTTATTCTTCATGCTACTGGAAACATTGCCGCTAAATTTTTATACGACCCCGTAATGATTTCCTACATGCCTTTGTACTATCCCCCCCCCCCCCCTTTTTTTTT